GCGTATCTTCTTCGTAATGGTCGTGACCCTATACTTTTTTTACACATTCTATAACTTTTAACTACGTAGAATCCTATTAAGAAAACTGACAGCTGTTTCCTCGCAACTAACTGAGTTATTAAAGTAATTAAGTTAAAAGGTAATGTGTAAAAAACGAAAACGCTCTCACATTTCTGCTGAAACGCTCTCACATTTCTTGGCAGAATGGAGGTCAAAAAGTATGAAATTCTGAAAACGAAGAGGTTAAACACTGATAAACCAAAGCTCTTTGTTACACCTCATATACACTTGTAATACAAAAGTTTTGTATACCTTTCCGAAGTCCGCTGGCTTAACGTAGAGGTACTTCTTTACACCGCAGTGGCACTGCGCCAAAGCTGCTGGAGCCGTTCAGAAAACAAAGGCATTTTCCCGCTCGTATTCTTGGCAATACAATTAGAAATGAACGCGACTATAAGCGCGCATTAATTACCATAGTTAAGGTTTTTGCTGCTCTTTCTTCTTTTTTGAACATTGTGGATCGGAAACAATTTTGGCATTTAATGATCCTTTTGCGTCTACACCTCCAGTCAGTTCTTGTTTGTGAACCTCAATAATGGTGTTCCTCAATGTTCACTAGTTTGCCGATTGTTCATAGCTGGATGGAAAATTTATAGAAAATTTTAAAGACTTTTTCTTACATATCAGTTATTCATAGTTGTTGAAGCTTGGAATGATTCAGTCATTAGGGTTTAGGAATAAAATTCAGCCATTATAATTCAACTCTTCGTTTGATTTCATAAGATGTTGGAAACTTTTGATAGTAAGCTAAAAAATTTATACAGGTACAGCAGATTTTTAGCAAAAAAATATTCTGGAAAAATTTACACTACATAGAAATATTTCGTGTTGACATTGCTTAAAACTGTGATCAATGTTACTGCAAAACAAGCGTCGATGATTTTTTTTTCTTATGTAGGAGAATCATTTTACTGCAAGGAGGCTTCCTGTTTGTTAAGAAGCACATACTGAAGATCATTTCTTGCTAAGTTGCATCAGAAAAACTAGTGTAAGCTTCATAACGTAGTTCCCAGTGGCATTTAACAGTATTAGATAGCGGTGGATTTTGTATGAGTCTAATACCTTCATTGATGGATCATA